TTCCTTGATTTTTGATCAGATATCTTAACACCTTAAAGAGGCCTGACTTTCAGAAAGTGCGGATTGCACTTAGGGTTTCACCAACAAAAACATTGATGTGGACAGGGCTTTGGCAGGAGACACTCTCCTGCTGACATAGCTACCATTATTTGTTGAGGGTGGTTTAACTATGCCAATGAAAGACCACTCCTGTCTGTAGAGAGTGACTAAATGGGAGACCTTATATGAGCGCAGCTGTACCTCAAAGTCTGTAGTGTAGACATAGTTTTAGTCTCATTGCTGTGAGGTTCTGTTGTGCCAGGCCTGCTCTTTGATTAGTTCTCCTAGGTGCTAATGCAAAATTGGTCTGCCTTTTTATCAGCCTCTGTAACAACTGACTCTCTGCCTTCTACCATGTCACCCCTTATGCATGATTCGTCCTTCCTTAATTCAACCCCAAGCCCACTGTTCTCTCCACTTTTAAGTCCCTCTTGAAAACCCACTTCTGATATATTATCTATAATAAGTCTGGGTGATTTGTATAGAAAATCCTGTTTAGTCACTGACCTTTGTCTGTCAGATCTTAGGGTGTGTCTAGACTACATGCCTCCGTTGACGGAGGCATGTAGATTAGCCAGATAGGCAGAGGGAAATGAAGCCGCGATTAAAATAATCGCGGCTTCATTTAAATTTAAATGGCTGCCCCGCTCTGCCGATCAGCTGTTTGTCGGCCGATCGGGGCAGTCTGGACGCGACGCGCCGACAAAGAAGCCTTTCTTGATCGGCACAGGTATGCCTCGTGAAACCAGGTTTACCTGTGCCGATCAAGAAAGGCTTCTTTGTCGGCGCGTCGCGTCCAGACTGCCCCGATCGGCCGACAAACAGCTGATCGGCAGAGCGGGGCAGCCATTTAAATTTAAATGAAGCCGCGATTATTTTAATCGCGGCTTCATTTCCCTCTGCCGATCTGGCTAATCTACATGCCTCCGTCGACGGAGGCATGTAGTTTAGACGTACCCTTAGATTGGAGTCCTTGGGATAGGGATCATCCCTTCATGTATGTCTGGAGAGTGCACATGGTGGGAGTTACCAAACACTAAAAAAAAAATCTAAGCCACATGCATAGTGCACATCCAGAGACCAAAGTCATACACATGTCTGTAATAAATAAGCAAACAGTGCCACCTTTCTATCTGTAGAGAGCCATGCCTTACATCTTGTGCAGCCTCTATATTTACACACACACATATTCATTCCATCAGCTCATTAACAATTTTAACAATGCTCTTTGCTTCATAAACACTTCTTCTGTTATGTCTCCAATAAGCTGGAAGCCATCAACACTTTGCTGATGATGAACTGGGAACTTTTATCTTCTTCCAGCCTCGCGTTTCAATTGACCCATGAAAGAGGCGTTGACGAAGAAAGGCCTCTCCTGTACTCCCCAACCCTCTGACTGATACTGATAGTATTTAGCACCCATGTGGGAATATGGATACTAGTATCCAAGGGACAGAGGGAGGGAGGGTAGCTAAGGAGATGTGAAAGCTCATGATACCATCTACATGTTTTATTAGTCTATAAAGTGCTACCAGACCATTTGTTGTTTTTTTCCTGTAACAGACTAACTCGGCTACCCCCTGAAGCTCCCGGGGAAGAGGTTGTCCTAAACTTTCCCATTGGGGGTCTCAGTAAACAGCAAGTTGAGAAGTCAAAAAAGAAACAACCTCCTCTGTAGCAAATAGTGTGTGCTGCGTTTGCATTCAGCTAGGCTGTTTTTCCACATTTCCTCCTCATTCATTTTTTACTGAAAATATTAGTTAATTAATCACCCTGCAAATTCATTTGGAGGGCTTTTTCAATAGTTAAGTATAGACATATGCCCACTAGGGATGTAAGCAAGTAGTCAACTACCCATTAAGCCTAGGCTTATTAGGTAGTTGAGTCGACTACTCGATTTACGCCCCCCGCCTCTGCATCAGAAGGTGGTGCGCACTGCGAGCTGGCTTATGCTGGTCCCTCTTCCAGGGACTTTAGAGGGGCAGCTGAGTGAGTCTGTAACAGGAAAAACTTAAAAAACAACAAATAGTCTGGTAGTACCTTACAGACTAGCAAAACATGCAGATGGTATCATAAGCTTTTGTGGGCACAACCCACTTCTTCCAGGGAGCCGGTTGCCACCCCATGCTGCAAGTTTTGACACAGATCCAGAAGCATGGGGGTGGGAGCCAGCATGTAACTCTAAGGCTACATCTAGATTGGCATGATTTTCCGCAAATGCTTTTAACGGAAAAGTTTTCTGTTAAAAGCATTTTCAGAAAAGAGCATCTTGATTGGCACGGACGCTTTTCCGCAAAAACTGCTTTCGCGGAAAAGCGTCCGTGCCAATCTAGACGCGCTTTTGCGCAAAAAAGCCCCGATCGTCATTTTAGCCATCGGGGCTTTTTTGCGCAAAACAGTACTGTGCTGTCTACATTGGCCCTCTTGCGCAAATGATTTGCGCAAGAGGGCTTTTGCCCGAATGGGAGCAGCATAGTATTTCCGCAAGAACACTGACGATCTTACATGAGATCGTCAGTGTTCTTGAGGAAATTCAAGCGGCCAGTGTAGACAGCTAGCAAGTTTTTCCGCAAAAGCAGATGATTTTGCGGAAAAACTTGCCAGTCTAGGCACAGCCTAACAGTTATGCTCTTACATCCCTAATCCACATGCTCTGTGTTTCACTGTCCAAACAAACTGAAATAAAAAAATGATTAATCAGCCTATATTGGAGGGAGGAGGAAGTATGAGGATTTTAAAAATTCCTGCTTTTTAATCATCTAAGGATGTTTTAAATTTGTCATTATTTCTGTGATAAAAAGAGCACAGGCTAAGGATAAGAACTAATGATTAGGAATACTGCCTCTTATGTGTTCTGCTTCCCTCCCACTGATGTGATGGGTAGCTTGGGCATGTCACCTTGTTTTCCAGAGCTGTGTCTAGTCTATATTTGTTCTCCTGGGATGTCCTCCTGTTGCCACCACTCTACTGGTGATGTCAGCAAGAGCACTGGTGTAGACATGTAGTCGTTGTCACCTAACTCTATCCAGAATAGACAACACAGCGGCTAAAATGCAAACAGCTGGCACCCTCTCTGTGCTAACGCTCCCTCCACTTTTACCAGTGGTAGGAACAGCAGGAAGTTTTAGGGGTGGGGGAGTGTGGGCTGAAAACAGTAGAATTATGTTTGCAACCATGTTTTAAGCTTACCTGTAAGCCTTTCTTACAGGCTTGTGTAGATGGGGTCTTAGGCTATGTCTAGACTACAGAGTTTTTCCGGGATAAAACTCGGCCACGTCCAGGAAACACATCTTCTGACATTTTTTGCGGAGGAACAGATGCGCTCTTTCAGAAGCCCTGTATTCCTCATTTTATGAGGAATAAGGGCTCTTCTAAAAGAGGAGGTTTTTCCAAAATTTGGTCCAGTGTGGGAAAAAGGTACGCAAATTGCGGCAGTCTAGACGTAGCCTTAGAGTGTATTTACTTCAAAAATAGGTATGTGTTTACACAGAGAATTTTCTCAGGGCTTGTCAAAACTACGGAGAAGATCGATCTCCGGAGGTCGATCTTCTAGCATTCGATTTAGCAGGTCTAGTGTAGACCCCAAAATTGAACACTGAGGACAGCCCCTGCAGGTGTTATGTACTCCTCATTCTGTGAGGAGTATGGGAAGCTGACAGGAGCGTGTGCTTCTGTAGGCCTCCCTCAGTGTAGATGCTGTGATGATTCGGCTTACGGTAAGCTGAACCCAGTTATGCATTTTGTGTAGCTGGAGGCATATCTTAATCTGACCTGCTTGGTCTAGTGTAGACCAGCCCCAATGTACAATTCCAGTGGAGACAAAGCGCTGTAATTTTCACTTCAGGATAGGAAGTGGAGATAAACCCCGTCGTGTGGATGGGATAGAGCTGACCTCGACTAGGGTTACCATATGTCTGGATTTTCTCAGACGCTGCCTCTCTTTTGATCCTGGGTAATGTCTGGGTTTTTTGTACAGCAGATGTTGCAGCTCAGAAAGATTCCTGATTGGTCCCTTCCCTGTATATAATTGGTCCCTTGCAACTGCTGGATCCCACCTACCCAGGCCCCAGCCCGTGGAAGGGGAAAGCCCTGCTATGAGGCACTGACTGAAGGCTGTTGCTATGTCCGGGTCTACACCTGCTACTGTATGAGGGAGCAACACTGAGCCCCTCATCCAGGATGAGGCCCCAGCACACTCTGAATATTCCCCAGTGCACATACTGTATATCCTGCATGCACATCAACTATTCCTCTTCCTCTCCTCCAATAGTGTACTCTTTTTGAGAGCCTGAAACATGGTAACCCTTCACTAGGTACATTGAGGTCACAACTGCCTTCTGTCCTCTAAAATTTTAGAGTGTTAACTTCAACGTCAGCTCTGTCTCACCCACATTCTGGGGTTTTTCTCCACTACCTATCTGGAAGTAAAAGGTTTTTTTATTAGGTTGCAGAACGAAGAGCAAGAATCTCTCAGGGGTCTCACTGTTCTCAGTAGCAAAGCAGTGTAATTTTTTAATAAAACACCTCTGTGATGAACTAATAGATCACTGTCCATCTCATAGGCATCTTCTGCAAATGATTAATCATCCATTCTCAGAGTTATTTTGGGTGCATTCAACAATTTAATTGTGCTTATTACTCAAATGACCTCCTTGTTATCAGGACAAAGTGGTGTTTACCCACTATTTTACTGTTACTTTTTAAAGGGTGGATTAATTCGTTAATATATTTTCCCCCTTCTATATCACTTATCAATATTCAAACCTCAAAAAGCATGAAGCAAAGTGTATACATAATAGTGATATTAATTCAACCACAAGTTATTGGACTTGGTGCAGGAATCACTGGATGAGGTTATTGGCTTGTGCTATTCAAGAGCTCAGACTAGATTATCATAATAGACTTTTCTGACCTTCACATATATAAAAAACCAAGAACATTTCTTAAAAATAAGAACACTTTATAGATTAAAAATGGCTTAACTGTTTGCAAAAGTAATCAGAAATGGGGAAACATTCACCAATGGGAATGTTGCTAGTGGGATTCTTAAGGAATCTCTTCTTGGCCCAAAGCTATTCAGTATCTTTATCAATGATCTGGAAGAAAATATAAAATAATTACTGATAAAATTTGTCCATGCCACACACATTTAAGGAAGTGATTAATTAATGATGGACAAGTCAATTATACAGGCCAACCTTTTTAATACTGCCAAAGGCAAGGTATATGTCTAAGAACAAAGAATGTAGGTCATACTTACAAGATAGGGAAACTATATCAGAGATTGCAGTGGTGCTGAAAAGGACAATAACAAAAAACCAATTGAATATAACCTCCCAATGTGTTATTGTAACAAAGAAGGCACAATCAATCATCTGAGGTAGTATCAGGGAAATATCAAGAAGAAATAGGGAGCTGATATTAAGAACAATTTAGAAAAGTTGGACATGCACAAATCCATGTGGCTGGATATAATGCATCCGAGGGTGTGGAGGGAGTTGGCAGATGTCATTACAGAGCCATTGGCCGTTATCTTTGAAAACTCGTGGAGATCAGGGGAGGTCTCGAATGATTGGAAAAAGGCAAATGTAATACCCATCTTTAAAAAAGGGAAGGACAATCCAGGGAACTACAGACCAGTCAGCCTCACCTCAGTCCCCAGGAAAACCATGGAGGGGATCCTCAAGGAATCCATTCTGAAGTACTTGGAAGAGAGGAAAGTGATCAGGTATAGTCAACTTGTATTCACCAAGGGTAAGTCATGCCTAATTGCCTTCTATGATGAAGTAACTGGTTCTGTGGACATGGGGAAGTCAGTGGATGTGATATCCCTTGACTTTAGCAAAGCTTTTGATATGGTCTCCCACATAATTCTTGACAGCAAGTTTAAGCACGTATGGATTGGATAAATGGACTGTAAGGTGGATAGAAAACTAGCTAGATGGTTGGGTTCAACAAGTAGTGATCAACAGCTCAATGTCTGGTTGGCGGTCGGTTTCAAGTGGAGTGCCCCAAGGATTGCAGTACCTAGGAGCGGCAGGAGGCATGGAGCCAGGTAAGTGCCCCTCATCTGCCCCATGTCCAGACTTTGCACCCCATTCCACTCCTACACCCATCATCCCAGCCAGACCCTCACTCCCCCCCCCCCCTTCTGCACCCATTTTGTTGTCATGGGTAGTTGGCTGGTGGTTCACAGAGAGGTTTGCATTGAAGGGGGTGGGCCATTGAGCCAAAAAGTTTGAGAACCACTAATTTAGATTTTTCTCTGAACTTTACCACACACCTTATCAGTAGATTTTATCTTTCCTACAAGATAAGGGGATCCGAATTAGCTTATTACCATTCGAGAAAGAGATCTTGGAGTCGTTGTGGATAATTTTCCAAAACCATCTGTTTAATATGCTCTGGATGTCTCACCTCTGACTGCCCAATGCTGAGAGTGGACAACAGGGAATGGGTCATTTGATGTTCTGTTCATTCCCTCTGAAGCACCTGGCATTAGCCAATGTCAGAAGACTGAGCTAGATAAACCATTGTTCTGTAACAGTGTGATCATTCTATAGTTCGCTCCACACTTCTGCACTAAAGATAGCTGCAGCTTTTAGGTGGCATTGTAGATTTGTCTGCAGGTTTTTGGCCTCCATTTCCATCAACTTACTGTATCTATTAACCTTTTATTAATCATAGTGTAGCTTTAATGAACTGAAATACACTAACCAATTTTTTAGAAGATAAATGAGCATAGCATAGGTAATCCTTTCAGCAGAATACCAGACTTGAGAGACTGCTGACAGAATATGCATTCTCTGTGAACCTTTTCAACTCAATTTATAGTGTTCCATTGGTTTTTAATAGAGAAATGCAAGTGAGAGAGCACAGTAGTTGCGTTTCTAGCCCAGCTTGTCACTTTTGTGCATTCCCCATCCCCAGCAGCATACAATGGCTTCTCTAGCTGTGAAAATCCATGGGAAGCTGGTGTCTGACAAAACTGTCCCAAAGTTGCTTTTTTTAACTTATTAAGTTAGAAATCACCATTTTTTACCCTCTTCTCTTTTACCATTTTCATCTTTCCCTTCTCCATACTTTATATATGAGTTTTACTTACTGGCACTGAATTGCCACCTACCAGCTGCTAACAATTTCTTTACCCCTTCCACTTTTCAGCACCACACCACCATGAAACACACTTAAGGGAAATTGCTTCCACTCCAGCAAGTCCCTGTCCATTGCGCTGATTTAATAAAAATGCTTTTTTCTTTCTCTTTCTCTCAAGCTTCCTTCTTGAAAAGCTCTTTCCTACCTTAGAGGGAAAGTGATTATATTTACCATCACAGCACAATTCAGATTTACCAGTCTGTCATCCTTTAATTGATTTAGATTGATCTGGTAACTGTTTCTCACAGTCTGGGACTATTTGTCCTCCCCTTCTTCTCCCTAGTGAGCTGACCTCACTCACAAAGTGAACATTTGATTTTTTTTAAAGGTTTCTTCCACCAATTCATAAATTCAGGCTTGAGTAATTACATTTTTTTTCTCTGCTGAAACTTTACCAGATTACATGCATTCCCACATCTCCAGTTAATGGTACGCAAATGAAGGCAAATCGGAATAAAATTGCTAACCAGCCAATTGCACTTTCCCATAGACATAGTAATAATGTCTACTGAAGACAGCTAGACATCTGTTACAAGCTAGTGGCCTGATGCTGAACAATCCCACTGAAGTTGATGGAAATGGAGGTTTCTCATTTCCTCTAAAGAATGTGCCCTTTGTTTTTTTTATTTGGGTTATTTATTCACCGTTTTTATAGAAAATACCCCATGGTTTAATTCCTTCTTTTTCATTCTAGTTTTTAGCTGCCTCAACCTAGTGGGATTATTTTCTCTATCCCTTCGAACACAAAAGACTTTGCCAGGCCCAACCCACACCTCTGCATTCTTTACCCTGCCTTGCCCTTTCTTTATGTGTATATATATACCCAGAGACGTGAGTTGTCTCAGTAACCAACCAGCATGCATTCCCTTCCTTGTTCGTCAAGTTTTACATCATTCTTCAGAGTGCCTAAAGCTTTTAATCCCAACCCTTTAAGAGCTCCAAATTCACTTTAAATCATTATATTTTGGGGCGTACATCAACCCTCCCATCTGATCTGCTTGCCAGTGATGCCACTTTGTATTTTTCCTGTAGCTAAGGACCAAAACTAAGCATTGAAGTTTGGTAGGCTTGGTAGACCTAAAGGTGAAAGCATGGAAATGTCATTCCGAAGGTATCTATGATCAGTCTGGAGCCAGAGAGTGTCTAGACGACAGGTTGGTTTTTTTTAAGTGGACTTTTTTCAAAAAAACTTCCCCTGCATCTAAACTGCCGCTGCATTCTTTCGAAATTAAATTGAAAGACTGTGGCAGTTTTTTCGACCACGATAAACCTCATTTTATGAGGAAGAATACCTTTTTTTTGAAAGCGCTCTTATGAAAAAAGACATTATTGAATGCAAACAGGGCTTTTTCGAAAGAGAGCCTCCAGACTGCCTGGGTGTTCTCTTTCAAAAAAGCAGCTCGCTTTTTCGAAAGAAGTAGTTGCAGTCTAGATGCTCTCTTTCAAAAAAGCCTCTTTCGAAAGAGTCTTGTAGTTTAGACTAGCTAGAATAGGGAGGGTCAGATGCTGAATTGTGCTGTGAGAAGTAACTGATAAAGATGTCTGTTGTACAGTTTACTACAGGGCTACTCAACTTTGGAAGCCTCGGAGGCCACAATGATACTCACAGCACATGCCAAGGGTCGCAGCTTAAGTGTAGTTGCATACACATGCACATATATATGCAAATAGCTTCTTTCACACTGACAGGCATGAATACAAAGATTAAGGCAAGACTACACAACACACAGGCCCCATTTAACTCACTTCTGCTGATACTAATAAAATGCACTATTTCCCCAATTTCCACCCATATGACAGCACTTTTAATGAGCAATGACAGTCCAGGAATTTAACTACTGAAACACATATCAACCCAACATTGACTACTTTTTTGTTTTGGCTTCACAACAGTCCAGGAGTTTAAAACACATATCAACCCAAACCGCACTGTAAACCCAAACTGCACCACAGGCTGCAAACAAACAGGGTTGAGTAACCCTGTTTTACTATAATATGCCCTTATCTTAAGCTGTTAAATAAATATATTACCTGTGTCAAGTAGTTGAATCTCCCAGCTCCTCTATAAATTAATACCATTAAATCATTCCTCTTGCTAAAACAGTTGTGGTTTTGTTTGTGTTTGTTTTTAAAAGAAAACACACTTTGGCTCCAAAGAGCAGCTTTGTAGAATTGCATTATTATCATAAAGGGAGCTGGAACTGCTACCAGAATTCCCAACGCCATACCTATAAGAGGAATATTAATACAACCATAAAATATAGAAGTTAGAGATGAAAAAGACTTATTAGCATAGCTGTGCCAAGGAGGAATTTATGGCTGGGTGTTGAGATCACATGAAACTCAGAATTTTTGCCCAAATTTCATGTAGAAAGGTAGAACTGAAGAGGAAGGGGAATCCAGACAAGCAAAAAATAACCCCCCCCCCCCCCAAATCCCTGCCAAATAAAAACTCGTGAGTTTCATACAGCTCAACTAATCAAGTCATTTAGTTCTGTGCCTCTCAACCTTTCTAGATTGTTGTAGGGAGTCTCTGTTACGCCCACATCTCACCTCGCTTAAAATCTCTTTGCTTACAAAATCAGACATAAAAAGACAAGTGTCAGCACACTATTACTGAAAAATTGCTTGCTCTCTTTTTACCACGTAATAACATTAATCAAATGGAATATAAATATTGTGTTTGCATTCAGTGTATAGTATGTAGAGCAATATAAACAAGTCGTATTAAATTTTAGTTTGATTTCCCTTCATGTAACTCACACACTTACTGGGCGTGGTTCACTGTCCTATGTAGTGACACTTAGACCACTTACACAGAAAGAATAAGCTTGCTCTCCAGCCTTAGCTGAGAGTCAGCTGGCTTTTAGCTCAAGCAGAAGAGAAGGGTGGGCAATAATTTTTGAAGGGGAGCCACGTCAGAAATTTTCAAAGTGGTTGTGAGCCACCCCAGAAGGGGTGGGACCTCGGGCAGAAGAGGCGGGGCTTCAGGTGGAAGGAGTGGAGCCTTTAAGTAGCAGGAGTTGAAAGGGCTCACACCTCTCCTGTGGCTCCCAGGCAATGTGTTAGTTGGGGGCAGGAGCTGTGAGCCCTTTCAACTCCAGCTATTTGAAGGGCTTGTGCCTGCCAGGCAACTGCAACCACATTGCCTGGCAACTACCCAGCAAGCGCCAGCCCTTTAAATAGAAACAAATGAAAGGGCTTGGCCTCCCCTGTGGCTCCCAGACAATGTGGCAGAGCCAGGAGCTGCTAGCCCTTTCAATTGCTTCTATTTAAAGGGCTCACACCTTAGTAGCTGCCAGGAAGGCGCAAGCCCTTTAAATAGAAGCAGTTGAAAGGGCTTGCGCCTCCCCAGCAACGTGTTAGGGGATGGGGACGGGAGCTGCCTCATGAGCTGGATGAAAGAGCTTGGTGGGCTGGATCTGGCCTGCTGACAGGCTCTTGGCCAGCTCTGTGGTAGAGGCGCATGCACTAAACTCCAGGGATCCTGGGTTTTGTTCCACCTTTTTGCATTACATTCACACATGCTGTTTATAGCCTGTTATAAAATGGCAAATATCTAAATGAGTTGCTAACACCAAGTGTACATGTGCTGCAGTTGAGGATCGCTGATTTAGTTAATCTCCTGGCTTATGCAGGATGGTTCTGTACAAACTATACAAGTGTTTTGTGTGTGACAATGTGTGTGTTATTTCTTTAGATGAAGCTGGAGGTAGGCCAGGGGGAGACTGGTGTGAGTTCTAAGCAGAATCTTCTCTGATGAAACACAGAGAGAGAGAGAGAGGCAGAGTTAATATGTTTTCTTTAATCTAATGTGTCTTGTTCGGTGTTAGAAGAAAGTGATTCTTTCTGGGTTTCTTTACCAGTGTTACCAACCAAGAGCACTTTTTTAAAAAAAATCTTGCATCAAGCTCCCAAAATCAGAAGATTAGCTAAAAAATCATGAGATTTTAAAAACAGACTACCTTTTGGGTTCTTTTACTTCTGTTCTGGCTTTTGAGCTTTTAGGGCAGTGGTCTCCAATGCGGTGCCCGCGGGCACCATGGCATTTATGTGCACCTGCCGAAACATCTGGGCTGGCCTTGCCCCCGGCGCGCAGCACATGCACGGTGCTGGCCCTGGGCTTAGGGCACGTGGGCGGCCCCCACCCCCGGTCGCGCAGCGCATGCGTGGCCCAACCTCTGGAAGCGCAGCATGTGAGCGGCCCCGCCCCTGGGCACTCGGCAGCCGCGAAAGGTTGGGGACCACTGTTTTAGGGCATCACACTTTCAACCTTTTCTCCGTCATCATGAGAACTAGATGTTTACACTTTTTTATTTCAATAGAAGTTTTGATTCCTAAGTAATACATGATCTCTGGAGCTGGGGCTTTAATAAAAATATTAGGATATGGGGTATCATAAGACTTGGCAACACTACAACCAGTATATAAGGAGATGGCATGCTGGTCTGAGAGACCATGGAAACTGGCTTTTGAAGGGAGAGGATACATGAGGCAGTGGAAAAACCTTAGAAAAATGCCATCTTTTTGCTAATTAAGACCAAGTTTTAAAAAGTTATTACCA